CCCCCCCACCCCCCGGGCGGGCAAATCCCACCATGCTACTCCGGCCGACGACCGAGTTGTTGGACCCGGCACAGATGGAGCAATCCAGAAACCTGGGCCAACATGTCTAGAGCATGTCTTCCCGTGTTGGCCTGGAGGTTCCGAGACTCGGGGGCATGTCTACTTCCGTGTGTGGAGATGGCGTTTTGGCTTCCGGCCCGGCGGTGCTGGCGGGAGAGTGGAGGAATGTTTAGTTTACTGCGCTTGCTGATGGTTGACGACGGGGTTGAGGCTATTCTGGACTGTGTTGAAATCAGCCTGGCTGGATTTGAGTTGTGTTGATTCTCAGCAACGAAGCGCACGCGACTTCGTTGTACTACACTGCTAAAACCCTGTCGGGGGTTGTAGATGGATGTGCCTTGCGTTGCCAGAAGCGAAGGATGAAAAGCCAAGTAGGTTCGAGACGTGACTCTGCCACTCTCATGCCTGCAAGTGACTTTCGCTCCAAGACGCCTACCTACGTGAATGTCTCGTATTGTGAGAAAAGAAGCTCCAGGCTGTCTGGTTTCCGTCGATGGGAGACAAGAATTCTTCCAATTTTCTACGATTCCTCGGTTAGGTGCTTCATCTGTTCCTTCTATGAACGAGTGATCTTCTTACAGATGACCATGTGCAGCATTGTGAGATTTGGACCCTGTGCCTAGACTTCGACAAAAACCATTATATTTATTCACCTCTATACTATATGCAACAACACGGTGGTTGATTGTATTTGATTACTTCCAAACACTAGAACTCTCTGCGCCAGACTTCTTCCCTTTCTGATACGTCTCACTCAACGAACTGTACAAGTCCTCGACTCTCTGGATTTCCTGCCGCCACGTCTTCCTCTCCGCCACATACCACAAGTCGTCCAGCAAATCACCCACAGATCGTCCCCTGAAGAACTTGTTCGTCTTATTGTACAGCGCCCTCTTGTTGACCTGCTGCTCAGTCTCCTCGCCCTGCACCCTAAAGACCGACTCCAGAATGTCAATGTCGTAGGGGATGGAGAACAAGTCCCTACTGTCCACGTAGGTGAAGAGGTAGTAAAACTCGCTGAAGCCGGACCACGCAATGCCTCTCGGACAAAGACTGCACGGCTCATGGGTGGCAAAGAAGATGCAAATCCTTTTGTGGACCAGGCCGCGCCGTTGGATCACGGTAGTCGACGGTGAAGAACTGCTGGATGCAGTTGATCTCGCCGTGTAGCAGGGGAGACAGCCGTGCGTTGTTGGCTGCGCCGAATACCTTTGAGCCGGTCGCAACTCCTTGCTGGGTGAGGGGGACAATGCGGTCTTCCACCGTCTTGAGAAGCGTCGAGATGAGCTCAGATGCGGTGGCGGCGGCGGCGGAAGACGCGTTGCGTTGTGGGCTTCAAGCGTGTTTAATCTGGTGATGAAAGTAGTTGAAACATGGGAATTGCCTGCTTGTCCATTTCTTTTTATGTCTGCCGCAGACGGAGGCGCGGTACCTGGTGTATCGCACTCAAAGGGATGTGTGTGTCGATCTGGGGCGCCTGATAACCAAGCGATGCTTGCCTGGACTTTTGGGGTAGGCGATTGCGGCCTATCATGGCACCGACCACCGCAGGCCCAGCATGCGGCAACCTCCGCCTTGATTCACAGGTTGTTGGTGTGACAAGGAAACGCCCATCGTGCGTTTTGGCTTCGTAGCCCTCGGTGCAGGTTCAAAGAATAAAAAAGAAGCTTCGTCTTTGGTTTGACGGCGCGCAATGGCCCGCGGCCACGCTTCATGGTTTCTGCCACTTGCCACTTTCATGCGCATGAATAGCATGCCCAAAAACATGACTAAGCCCAAAGCGTCCGTAGAGAATCAATCCGTCATGGCTTTTTGGCAAAAGGTTTCAATGAGCCCTCGAATTCAAAGCCATCCTCAACCTTAATCACTGGCACTCTATCCATCGATCCATCGTTTCCTACGCGCTCAGTGCTCAGCTTGGCTATATATATGATCTCTTTAATTTTTTCTTTTCCCGTTCCCATGTCCTCGTCTTAACTTCCTTGCAACTTGCTAAGAGAATCCGCACACGCAAACTACAAAATTTGGCATCGTCGTCGTCCATCATCGGCTTCGCAACACCATGCATTACATTCGACTGTTGCGTCCTCCAGGCATACGAGTCCAGGAGGATAGCATGCAAGCACAGCTAGTGTTCACAATCACGACTGACCTGGGGGAGTCATTTCTGTGCCCGGAAAAGGCTATTGACTTGGTGGTTACGGCACATGTCACCTCACTGTCGGGGAATTCATCATGCCTTCTTACCAGGAGGGGGTCCCTACAGTGGAAGGCTGGTAGACGAGTGTGTAAACCCGTTTTTGAGTTTCCCCGAATGATTCAGCAGGCTTTCATGTACGGAGACACGGTTGAGCTGTGTATTAGCCCCGACTCGGACCTGTCGGGGGATGAGGTTCACAGCATCCTCAATTCGTCCATAAAACACCCCACCCAGCACGCGAATGGCCTCATTGTGCCTGTTTGGGTCGGCATGAACGGCCCCGAAGTGGATTCGGACATGTCTATTCGCCGTATTCGCCTGACGGCTCCTACCGAGCCAGCACAGTTTCTGGAGATCCAGGAGGAGATTGGCGAAAGCATCGCCCGCCACATCTGGGATGCGGGCGTCGTCTCACTCTGTGCCATTGTCGGCGCCTACAAGTTCCCCAACCTCGAAACCAGCCAACATCCCTGCATGAAGAAGCTGCTCAGCATCCTCAACAACAAGGACGGCGTCAGCGTTCTTGAGCTGGGCTGTGGCGTGGGAATCCTTGGCATCGGTCTCTGCGCCGTCTATCCCCGAGACACGGGGGAATGCACAATCTTGATGACGGACCTGAAGGAAGCAGAAGGCAGAGTGCTCTCTAACATGGGGCTCCTGCAGCAGCTTCGCTCTGGTTCGGATCTCGGCTATGCACAAGTCATGTATCAGAACCTCGACTGGAACGAGGCCCAATACGGAGGCTTTCGAGGACAGATTCAGTACCGGCGCTGGGATCTCGTCATGCTGAGCGACTGTACGTACAACGTCGACACGCTCCCTGCCCTCGTCGGCACCTTGTCAGCCATTCACCGCGCGAATCTGGAATTCACTGCCGACGATGAGGTGTTTTCAACAAAGGTATTCGTTGCGACAAAGCCACGCCACGCGTCAGAGCGGTCTTTTTTCGACCTCATGGCCGCAGAGGGTTGGACCAGGGAAGAGAAACTAGTTCTGTCGCTTCCTGTCCTGGGTGGGGAATGCGAATCGGTAGAAATGTACCTTTTCGAAAAGGCAAAAGCACAAACGGTCGACGCAGTGCGATCCTCGTTGAAGCTCGTGTGACAAAGAGTCTGTACACGTATCGGGAGCACGACTAATACTTCGCCAAGGGCGACAATCCTTATCGATGCTTTGATCCGTATTTACGGCCCAGGTGGCTGGCTCACCATAGCCCACATACATATCCGAAGTTGTACAACTAGGTCAGTTTCGGTACTTGGTGGCACCTGCAAAAGCAAGGGACGCCAATGCCAGGTTTTTTGATGTTACGCAAGAAAACGCAGAAGACATCTGTCACAGCTACTGTGAATGGAAACGACGGCAAATGAACTCGGGAGGGCTATTTCAGCCTCTGATCAACGGTGGCTGTGTTTCACATAAAATTAGACCATTGCCATGAGAATTCGCAGCTATGCGACCACTGAAACTTTGACGAGTCCTAAAAGACCTTGACGAAATGGGATTATGCTCTACCTAAAACGATATGGTTACGCCGTGTTTGGGATAGTTTATTGGCCGGGGTAAAGGCAAGGCGCATGGGCGCATTCGAATCGTTTTTATAGACTTGTAGGATAAATAAAACACCTTGTACGTCACCGTGCAAGTTGTACACTTTGTTCAGTTTATTTCGAAGCTGTGACGTGTTAATTTTCATCAGCACTAGCCGCGGCAAGACGTTCATAGAGGAAGAATTAGCGTACGTTGAACAGAGACCAGTAAGATGGTGTTTGGCGGACGGAATGACGATAGTTCTACATGACGTGCGAACTGCATTGCCCTCCAGCTTGCAACTTGATGGGGCAACCTGGCAAAATCAAGATGCTGTCTCCTTCCAGATGGAGAGTAAAGCAATGGTACGTCCTGGTCAATCGCACAGTATTTACGGAGTACAAGAATGTACAAGCCACTCCCGCCCGTGGCAATGGGCTTGGAGTCCGAGTGTTGACCGATATTTGCCCGTTTGGCCCGGTGCGTCTCTCACCTACCGTGGAAGCCTTGGGCTTTCAGAAAGCAATTTGTATCAGTCTCGAGACGTCGACCACCCGGCCGTGATTCCGGAGTCCCATCAAGTCACGAGCCCAGCGTCAAAAGCAGTCTTGGGACGGGTGAGGACTCGATCCACGACCCGGGCCCGCCATCAGAATGGCCAGGAACAAAGGCATCCATCCGAGGTCGACGGTCCTTCGCTGGTGCACCCGGTTTCTCGGGTCGACGTGTCTGCGGCAGGCCTGAACGAACCGTGTCCGACGATAGTCACCGTCGCCGCCCTCGTCCATCTCCTCCAGTCCGCTGGCGTCGTCAAGCTCGTAGACGTTCGGTCCATTCCCAGATCCCGAACAAACCCCCAGTTCAACCGTGGCAAGCTCCTTCCCTCGACGGAATCGCAGGCGGCCAACACGGAACATGTATGGCTTGGCGACGCAGCCTCACGCCGAGCGGCGAGCAGCACACGGCCATCCGGGCTGCATCGTTTAGAAACTATGCGGGGTACATGGGCACCCCCGACGTTCCGAGAAGCTTGGTACAAGAGTTGCAGGACCGCAGGAACGAAAGGGTCGCAATCACGTGTAGTGAGACGCTGTGGGCGCATGATTGCGGATGTCTTGGTCGTGAAGGGGTGCAACGTCGAGCACTTGGGCGTTCAAAGAGGACCGGCTATGAATCACCGGCCATGGGATATCGCAAGGGTAGGTGACGACGGACATTGATATGATGGCTGTTGAGTGGCGGCAGACTTGCAGAGTGTAATGCGGAGCGCTTGAATGAGAAACGGCAAAAAGCAGCCATGTACAATGCTTACTTGTTTGTTTGTCAATGGATGAAATAATCGGCTGCGGCTGAAAGATACGTGTGTAGCTTCAACAATAGGTGAGTCCTGCAAAAAGAAAGCTCAAATACTCGGAAAGCAATCATCGTCATGAGCAGTACCTAGCTGGAAGCTTTATGGAGAGGCCTCAACTCTGCAGATAGGTTCAATCAAGGACACACGCTCAATTTAACCCATGACTGCAACGCGACACTTGTGTTAATGCAATTACGTCAATCCAGCGGCGTAAATTGAGTCATTACCCGTCGCTACGGAGTAATCGCCAGCGATATCGCCCTCGACCGAGTGTATTCACAAACAAGTTGAGCGAGTGCAGCGAGTGCAGCGCATACTGTATCCGCAAATTATGGAAAAGCTGAAAAAAGAAAAAAAATGTAATATCAAACGTGATAAATGACAGAACATTTAAACTGTGGATTTACAAGCACCAGCTGCAAGTCGAATCGATCGTGCACTTCTTTGACACGCATAGTCTCAATTTGCCAATGCTCATCTCAATTTATATACTGACCAACTAACAAAATGAACAATCTTGGTCCTTTAGCGCCAGTAACTTGCGTCTAGCTAGTCTCAGTATCGACCCTTTGCTCCAGCTTTGCTCCGTCCCAGCCGCGAGTCCCACAGACGACAAGTCTTGATCGTTTGCACAGTCAACGAGCACGCTGAGCAGCATTTTAAAGTCATTGCTCAGCCTGCTGCGGTAGTTCTTCTCCACCTCATTGTGGCAAACGCGGAAATGCGCCTTGCCGTGCCGATTGATGGCTGCCGGCGTGCCGTGCGGGTATGTTTCGTGAACATCCGACTTGGAGCGTCGGCTCGCCCTTCTTTTGGACGGCTTCTTGCTGTTGGGCCTGTATCTCGCATTGCATGCCGGGGACGATGCACTCGACACGAAGGAGGAGAGCGGCGAACGTCGGTCGGGGGTGAGGCCGGAACCGCTGTTGGACGTCTCGCTCGCGCTGAGACGGCGTGGTGTTTCGAGCGGCGGCGTAAGACACGAAGCATCTGGCATTTGGGTGAGCTGGCAGCCGCCCTCCAGTGCTGAATCGGCTGGCGAGTAATATGGAAGATTCATAAGCTCGTTCATATCTTCCTTTGATACTTCCGATTCGGCTGGTGGAATATGCCCCGAGAAAACATCGAGGTTGTACGGGTCCCAAAGCGCTGAATTTATATTACACATGGGATAATATGACATGCAGTCGCTAGGTAAGATAGGACTGCAGACGGGCGTCGGGTCTAGGTTGATACGATACGAGCTGCAGGAACTAGGATGCCATTCCTGTTGTTGACAGGTCAGCAAGGTCCCTTTCCTACGAGTGAAGCGAAGCTAATTAACAGTAACGCTTGTGATCTTACCGGCGATTGACTCCACGCATTGTTCCACGTTGGAATCGTGGTTGAATCCTTGGCGATCTGGTAAAGATCCATCCATGACACCCGGGAATTTCAGTCAAATACCCAAGTGCGGAACGTTGAATTGGTGTACTTTCCGACAACGTATGTGATATAATAATTCAAAGATCGGGACGTGAATTAGCAGTAGTTGCCCTTCCGTCTCAGAAAAGGCCAACAATAGCCCTGGCCGGAATGTGAATGGCCTTTAATACCATAACATAGTCGCCGACTTATATCCATGTCAACCGCCCAACGCCCGCTGGCTGTTGTTTCCCGAAGAGTACCGTGCAAGTCCTCTGCGGAGAACTTGCCATTTGATGGCCGAGGCCGATAACCATCTTGCTGTAATCCGACAACTGATATTACCAAGTCCGGTCCGGAGCAGGCAATCCGACAGCTCCGACCAGGTCCCGAACTCCGAGAGATTGCCGTCCCAACGCCCAGTAGCATTTCTGAAGCCACCAAGGCGCATACCGGGCTTACCACATACGTACGTAGCAGTGCCAGTTGGTGTGCGGCTGGGTCACGAGATGCCGTGGTCTAACTGGAACCCTGCTCGAAATGGTGTGGCAACACACTCGGATTCATTACTGACGATATTGCCACAGTCTGTTTTCAACTTTGACAGTATCAAGCAGCAGGTTCGATGGTTGTTATAGAGACTTGAGTTGACAAGAATGTGGCTGGGCACGGGAGCTGTCTGGACTGCCAGGAGCGTATGCTCGACCAATTCGGAGTGATGATTAGGTCCGAAAAAAGTTTGACCCGTCTCCCCGATTGACACAGAGCCCCTATGCGGAAAGCAAGTAGTTCTAATAGTTCCGGCCCCGGGCCTTTGCTTCCAAGCATAGCCCGAGCTGCTCAAAGGCATGTCGTCATTTCGATTCGTGAGCACACTCTCCCTTGAAACGACTTCAACACCCGTTCCAACATTGATAGCTCGATCAAATTTTGGACACCGGGGGGGACAACCCAGTGAGCCGCGTTTAGCAGCAAGTCCCGGAACAAAGAAAAAAAAAAACCAACTCCACTATTCAAGTTAGATGATAGAGTAAATAACAGATATACCACATTTATTACTCAAAGACGGAATTCCTTCATAAAAGTGCCATCGTATTTCTGAGAAAATAACATGTGTGCGCCCAGAGATGGAATCCCATGCCTCGAAGCTGCTCAGAAAGCCGGGTTTCCCTATTAAATATATGCGAATAAATATGGCCTTTATATTCTATTTCTTGTTCGTAAAAACTAATAATAAGCTCAACTATGAATTTTTCAAAAAAATAGTGCAAAGTATGACATACAAGGTTTCTGTTTCGAGAGAATACTTCAGATGTAAGGTATCGTGACAGAGCGTAGAGAGGTCACAGAGGTAAACGGTACAGACGAGCTCGATTGAGTAGCAACAGATTAGTTAAGCTAGCAAAGTGTGTGCAGAAAGTTGTGTTGTTCTCTAACAAGGTGACTGCTGAGGTAGTGTTTTATAGGTGGCTTCTCGCTGTTCTCCCGGGCTTGTGTGGTGTTGGCCTCGGCGTATCTGCACCAACGGTCAACATGGACTTATATTTCATTGCAGAACTCAACTTAAGCACATCATTCTTTAGCGACTTAAAATCTTTATGCGACGGTCCGACCAGCTCTTTAAGATCGCTGTAAGCACGTTGATAATATCTCCTGGCCTCGGCTAGATGGCCCTGACTCCATGACAAAGCTCCCAAACCCCACGTAGTGTAGATTGCAGGCTTGTACCTCGAAATATTTTGGGGCCCTATCGCGATCTCGTACCCGTGAAGCGCCCGTAAGTACATCTCCTCGGCCTCTTGTCGCTTGCCTTGGCCCGCGTAAAGGAGACCCAGGTTATTAACTATGTGTAGCGTTGACGTGTGATTTGGTCCCCTTGCCTTCTCCAGCCCTCGGAGAGCTCTTAAGTACATCCTCTCGGCCTTTTGCAGCTTGCCTTGGTCCGCGTAGAGAGTCCCTAGGTTATTAATCGTGTCTAGCGTGGAGGTGTGATCTGGTCCCCTTGCCTTCTCATGCCCTCGGAGAGCTCTGGAGTACATCTCCTCGGCCTCTTGTAGCTTTCCTTGGTTTTTATAAAGACACCCTATGCTATTGACCGTGTGTAGTGTTAACGTATGATCTGATCCCCAAGCCTGCTCGTACCCTCGGAGCGCTCTTAGGTACATGTCCTCAGCCTCTTGCAGCCTGCCTAGCTCCGAGAAAAGGAGACCTAGGTTGTAAAAGGCCCAACCCAATTCTTCACCACTGTATTGGATTCTGGCACAAGACATCATTGCGTGTGGCAGAAGTCGCCTTTGAAGGGGCCAGAATTGAGGGTCGTCTGGTGACGGAACGTGTAAGGCTATGCATCTTACCGCGAGCTTACCTAGATGGTTATCCCACTCTTGATTTAATATATGAATGGTCCAAGAGTGCAAGCAGCCATGAATACTGTATCCCCTTGATTCGATCTGATCTACACTGGCGGGGTGCGGCTCGACAAATCCGTAGTCATGTAGTATTCCCATCGCGCAATGAAACTTCAGCTCATTAGCTAGGTCGTACATCCACGCTGGGCCGTCTTCACCGTTGGGCTGGAGAAGTTCGAGCCATATGTCCTCGTTGCTAAAGTAGGCCCACCATCGGAGCAAATAAGCTGCAAGAGGGTTTTGTTCCTGGACTTGTTGGTATGAGACTTGCCACGTGGAGCATAATGTGCGATCTCCGTAAGAACCTAGGCTTGGAGTGCTTGTGTGAAGTCTCGCCCATGATGTCTCGTAAAGGCGCAGGTAGTCACCCAAGCTGGTTGAAACACGCCTCAGGTACGCTCCAGCCGTGGCAAGGGCAAGCGGAAGCCCATCCAGCTTCTCTACAAGCTTCTTAGCATCTATGTCTGTAGCAGTTGTTAGTAAAAGCCTGGTTATTGTCTGCGAAACCCCTTACCATCGTGCAAGCCATCTCGACACGAGGTCAATGATAGGATCTTGAGACTGTCGTCCATCGATTCCAGCTTCCTTATTCGAATCGGATGCCCTATATCGACTTTTGACAATCGCGTCGTGATGACAATTGAGCCTTGGTGCGCCGTAGGAATAAAGCGATTGATATCGATTCCCTTGTCATGCGTGCCGTCAGTCAATCTCGGGTTATCGTAGTTGTCGTATATAATAAGCCACCTGGTGTTGCCTGGCAAGCTGAGCCATATTTTAACAGCTTCGACTACCTCGTTGTGACTTTCATGTAGGTCTAGTACATTGAGGCGGCTAGCATTAGGGTGCTGTTGCAAAATCTGCCTCGCGACTTTAGTGAAGCTCTGTTGAATAGACTCTTCGTCTTTAATGTTGAACCAGAATATCGCGGAATATTCATCTCGATATCGCTTTGTGTATGCTACGGCAAGCTGTGTCTTGCCAATGCCGCCGAGACCGTGGAGGATAACAACGCGACGGCTTCCATCTGAGCTCAGTGTTCTGCGTATCTCTGTAATTTCCGTTTCTCGTGCCACAAAATTTTGGATCTCGGGAACTTCAGACAGGCTAAAGGCCACAGAGAAATCAATGGTTCGTGTCCCTAACGCTGTTAGTTTCCAAGTTAACCCCTGGTTAACCCTTAGGTTGATCTTACCCTTGATTGCTTTCTGGACCTCTTCCCGCAGCCGTCTCTGTGCTTTTTCTCGCCCCTCGCCATAAATTAGCGGCATGTGAACATCAAATATACCAAGAAGCGAGTACGCCATGTCCTCCTCGTATTTGGTTTGACGGTCGCGTGCCCACGCCTCACGTTCTGAGACGGGGAAGTCGGACAAGGGTGTACCACGTAGAGCACTCGCAGGAATGCCTGTAATATCGCGTATCGCAGGCTCTAATGACTGCTTGTCGCCTAGCCAAGCCCCTTGTTTGGAATAGAAATCGACTGTTTTCGGGGCGATGAGCTCCTGCAGCGTCCACCCACGAGTGAACCATCTACTCTGTCGAAACGCATCATCCCACGGCATCATGCTCTTCTGTCGACCGAAGACTATAGGGCTAGAGACATCGGACAGGTAGACGTAGCATCTTTTTGCATCGCGATACCACCGAAACATGCTATTGATCGCAGTCTGAAGCTCGATGCCGTCAGATTTGTCGATACAGCAAGTGTCGACCCAGAAGAATTGCAAGCCGTGTCGTCTCGCCTGCTCAGCGCAGAACTCAATCTTGCGGTAACCGGCTTTGCGCTGCCAACCACCCGGCACCTTGGCCAGATCCGCGAAAATGACCTCGTCCGGTCCCCAGGTGTGGGAAAGGATCGCGTAAGGGGGAACATGGTCAGAGGAGAGGTCTGGGGTAAGGCTAAGGTTGCCTGCCTCGTCACGTTGCAGTAGCCGCATCGAAAGGCCTCAAAAACATTGAATTGGCGCTTTTCCAGGATGAAGGGATATAGGAGAAGGTGCTGGCGATGCTTCATGGAATAAGGTAGGCATTGTATCATGACCACTCGTCGCAAATACTGATCACTCAGGCTTCCATCAGGCTGCAAGTGCGGGGATGAAGGAGGACTCGGCCACAAGCCAATGCGTTGCACAGGACAAGAAACCGATTTTATATATGCAGTCATTTAAGCAAAGCTGCGCCGAAAGAGGTGAAGGTGCTGCGGCACAGCCTCTCAGCTTTGCTTTCTCTACGGAGTGGTCAAGCTGCTTCGCCACCATATTACAAGCCACAGGTCTTGGAAATTATACTGTAATTGGTCTAGGTGGCCTTGAATTGATATATTTAAGCAGGACTGCACTTGAGTGCTCTGCAAAGGGTAGTAAGTGCTCAGATGGAGCCTTCCAGCTTTGCTTCCCGATGTCTTCGATGAGAAGTCTGCGAATATTGAACGCTGCGTTGCCGCAATCACTAGCCTCATGTAGTTGAGACTTGACTGACAACTAGTCCAGATGACGTTGAATTACTGCTATTCACTCAAAATTCAGAATCCTCTCTTATCTTTGTGGGTTATCGCCATCTTGATGTTTTGGTGTTGAGGGCTGTGGGCACCTTTAAACGGCTCGACTCTAATAGTAGCAGCAGCTTTAGAGGCCGGATATCAACTTTTCCATGGGCTCGAATCTGAGAGCCTTAAAAGGGCCAATCGCATCCGACCTCATTGTGCAGCTTTGGTTACATCTATGGCAAGGACTCACGTGGGCATCGGGCTTGGCTCACCTGCCATCTGGCCATAGTAGATCATTATCCCTCATTCCATCTCACTAGAAACTGCAAATGACGGACAGTTGGATAAAGGGGAAGGAATGTACAACGTTATAGCCTTGCTAGGCAGCTCCCTGATAGTCTGTATAATTCTGCAACTGTTCGATTAGCGATATTCTAAAGTTGAATGTTATTTTATAACACTAAGTAGCGTATGTTCTAGGCATTATACAGCCTAGTATACAATCTAACTACCCAGGTAGTCTGCTGCTAGCAAGTACGATACATTTTCAGCCACACTTGCTCATCTTGACCGCAAATGGCGACTGGGGTGACTCTGGACTCGGAGATGAAATGTGAGACTGAAGCATCGACTAAAGGCCCGGGCCGATACAAACAGAGACCATACTATCCGGTCTGCATAGTTTTTCTTGCCAATAGGTATTACATCGAGCATAAACTGGGGCCATGGTGTCTTTTCGGCTGTTTGGACGGCGCGAGATATGCTCAACAAGAGTCAAGATCATCAAGCCCGGACATTCGGCAGAGTATAAAGACCCGATGCATAGCGAGATTATCGGCTCTACCCGAGATCCATGGCCCGTCTCTTACTGTCCCAGGATGCTTTCCTTCTGCGGATCCCACGGCCATCACCGGGTTCTCGTGTTTCCCCTTGCAGGGTGCAAATGTTGGAAATTGCGCTCGTTGAGCTCCTGTTGCCGCTTGTACGTTGGCTGTTAGGCAACTGCCGCAAAGCCTTGAATGCCCTTATGATGCTGGCTTTGATGGAACACAGGTGCATCATATTAGATGTATGTACATGTGTCCCTGCAGGTGGAACCATCCAGCTTACAAGCCGACCGTCTCAGTTGCTCCAACGGGCGCGATGCATGTCACCGAGACACAAGATTTGGTCTGCCGCAACTGTATTCTTCGATTTTTGTAGCGGTAGACACAGATACATGTGACGAAGCCAAGTTGTACGCGGCCAGCCAAAAGGAGGCGAAGAAGGCATTCGTCTTGTTCTTCCAACCGGACGCATTCCGTGTGGGAGGAGAGCATATGATGCGCAAAGAGAAAGGCCCCCCGGGCGCAGTAACCGGCACGAAAAGATGGAGCACATGGAGAAAAGGAGAAAAGCTACAAGGTCCCTTCCTTGTTGGCTCTTGATTCTTACATTGTGCGACCGTACTCTTGACCGGGCCAAGGGTGCTTCACCCCGGCACCGGAACCGGCATTGGGCCCGGGGGTTGACGCTTGAAGACGGAGGTTGGAAGAGGAGCCAATGCAAGTTTTCCCGCGACCAAGCATGTATATGTAAGGTTGCTATATCCGTCCATCGCCGGCAGGCCTAGTCCTGACCTGGGGGAGAGACTGCTGCATACTGGCTCGTACCGCAATGAGCACTCGCGTCGGTTCACGTTGGACGCTTCAAGTTTTCTTTTCGCTACCGTACTTCAACCACGTGGCGTTTAACGTCGGCGCCCACGATAAGCCACGTCCGGTGAAACCAACCATGGTCTACTCCGTACAACCGGCGCCTTTTTGGGCTAGGGTAGAGGCTCAAGTGAGTCCGCCAATCTCGGTAACGAGCCTATTTCTAGTAGTTGTCGAGTCCTTGGACACAGGATGTGTGGCTGCTGGTCAGTGCCATGGTAGTTACAAGGTCATTGGATCAATGATGCTTTCCAACAACTTGCATGAGGAAAAGGAAAAGCAAACTCGAAGCAGCCCCACACGGGGGAACTGAAACACAACCAGACAAAGCAAGTTGGCAGTCTTGACCTGTTTGAGGGTGGTCGGCGTGAGTAATCCATCTGCATTGTCCCTTTTGTTTGCGTGTTTCTCCGAGTGACTCACCAGCTACACAGACATGACACGCATGTGCTGTGTATGCACGCCATGGTCTGTGAAGCGTCCAATGTCTGTCCATCGCTGGTCATGGGGCATTGAGCTGGTGGTTGATTGATTGATTGATTGATTAGACAACATTTGACAACCGTCAGTGACTCACCGGGCTCCTTGCGAGTACACCGACATTTACGGACAGCAAAATCCAAGCTTCTTCCCACCCCGTCTTCTGTCCGCTTCATCGATTAGTAACTAGTAGTCAATATAACTTTTGTCCAAGTTTGCCGTTGGCCGCGGGTCCCGCTCTATTTCCGTGACCAAATTGTTCACGGTTCCCGTCTTGCGCCCGGCTTGGTCTCCGCTCGTCGTCGTCCGTGACTCCCTGTTATTCCTAGAACCCACCGGCTCGCTTTAATAATAATGTCAAGTAATACGCCGGGGCAAGGAGAGGAAGCAATGTGGTTGTGGCAGCGCGCGACTGCGGCCTTGGACTGAGCTGGCGTGAAGGGCGGCGCATTCGCCAGTTCCGGGACGCCAAGACCGACTTACACTGTAGATCCTGGGCATCAATCTCGCCCCTGTGTCGTATTTGGAGGTTTCTTCGCCATCCGCCCAAATGTCTCCCCCACATGCAAAGCGCCCGTCCCCATCTGCGTCCACATCTCGTCTGCCCACCGCACCACACATTGCTCAATGCCTAGGTATGTACATATGAGTAGTAGTTTCTGGGTTTCCCGGTGGCATGCTTCCGACCCTCCTCCATTGTGTTTCGTTAAATTGATGTTCAACGCTTCGGAGCCGTGCTGCCCAGTTCCGCTTCTCTCCCCCCCACCGCCATCCATACATACGCACGGGGAAGGCTTCGGCCCAGCATAGTATCCTTCAATATCGAACTCTTCGAGGCGTGCCTTCCCTGTGGACATCCTGGTCACCTGTCACTTCATCTGGACTGATATCAACACTGAACTATAGACAAAAAAAAAAAAAAAAAAAAAAAAACTATTCGCAGCCCTCCTCCTAGTTGTCATCACCACAACACCAACGCGGCAACGACATCTAGGTTCTGCTTTCGCCCATTACACCGAGAGAACATCCTACAGGCGAGATAGTGAGGGGCCAACTATCCGATTTCGCCTCTTGAACGATATTGATGGGACGGTAGCAGGTAGAGTAGGATATAGTTATATGGCGCACCATCATCCCGTTGGGCAATCCGAGGCCCAAATAGGACGACATGCACCCGCGTCCCGACCTCAGTCTCGCGATTCTGCATTGACCGCAGGCGACAACCAAACTACGGGAAATCATGCCGCTGACGTGCCGTCTGGTGTATCTGTAGAACAGGCCGAGGCTGATTTTGTGCAATTGAAAAGGGAGTTGACAAGTGCTTCTCGAGTGAGCCGTAGGCGCAGCGCCGTCAAGAACATTGACCCCGAAAAAGCAGCTCCCGTAGACTCTAGAGGCACAGATGATGAGTCCCTGTTTGACCTCGAAACTGCCCTGCGCGGTAGCCTTGCCGCCGATGAGGCTGCTGGGATCAAGCCGAAGCATATCGGAGTCTGCTGGGATGGATTGACGGTCAAGGGCATCGGTGGCATGGCCAACTACGTCCAGACATTCCCCAATGCATTCATCAATTTCTTCGATGTCATAACGCCAGTCATGAACCTGTTGGGCCTGGGCAAGAAACCGCCAGAGGCAACCCTTCTCGACGGCTTCCAGGGCGTGTGCAATCCTGGAGAAATGGTCCTCGTCCTGGGCAAACCAGGTTCCGGCTGCACGACATTCCTCAAGACCATTGCCAACCAAAGGCACGGATACACCAGCGTTCAAGGAGACGTCTTTTACGGCCCCTGGACGGCCAAGGAATTCAGCCGCTATCGAGCCGAGGCCGTCTACAATGCCGAGGACGACATTCACCACCCAACTCTTACAGTAGAACAGACGCTAGGATTTGCCCTCGACACCAAGATGCCCGCCAAACGGCCTGGAAATATGACCAAGGACGACTTCAAGGAGCATGTGATTTCCACGCTGCTCAAGATGTTCAACATCGAACACACTCGAAAGACGGTTGTGGGTGATCATTTTGTCAGAGGCATCTCTGGTGGCGAGAGGAAACGAGTCTCGATCGCAGAGATGATGATCACCAATGCCTGCATCTTGTCCTGGGATAACAGCACGCGCGGCCTTGATGCCAGTACCGCCTTGGACTTTACGAGATCACTTCGCATTCTGACCAACTTGTACAAGACGACCACCTTCGTGTCCCTTTACCAGGCATCCGAGAACATTTACAGGCTCTTTGACAAGGTCATGGTTATCGACGAGGGCAAGCAAGTCT